CCTAAAGAATCTCATGAGACGTTTTTTCGCTGTAGTATTATCATTGTACAAAGTGTCCCAGAAAAACACGGACCCTGTTTGTGCAGACTATGATCTTCTACAGTGGAAATTCATAAAGCAGTGCTTGAGGCTCAAGAATATATTGACTCTATAAGTGGTGTGTGATTAGCCAGGAGGGACAGCGATTGTAGATCCCGGCTCGTGAAGATAACCTTCTCACCCTCTTATATGGCGACTGCCACCCTCGTAGCACTTCGCTCCAACAGACCTCTGTTATCAACTGGAATCCACATGCATCCGGACAGGCCATATGATGCAAGGATGAAGCACAGAGGCAAACTGGAACAAGGACAAAACGTAGGGGGACAAGGCTGTCAACTTAGAATACCCTGTGTATATAGGTTGCCTGTCCATTCACATAATGCTCATTCAGATAAACAGAACAAGGAAGCTAACGCGTTTCAAATCGAAAGCACTAACAACCTGTATGCGAACCCCACGATTGTGCCGAACAAAATGGATGAGTTGCATGAATTAAGTAATGCTAGTAACACTTGTGTGGTAGAAACACTTGAAACGTGGGAATTTCCAAGTACGGGTGACGAGCTAACAATACCCAGCATGCCTTTGATTATCAACAACAGGAAAACAAGAATGGGGCGGAGCGTTGATCTGACGATGTGAAATTCGGGAGAGAAGTTTGCAACCAAGATGATATGCTTGCACTTCAGGAAGATCTGACCTTCACCCGCTAGAGTATAGGCGTCTCAGAGGTGACTTTCTAATGACTTACAGAATCCCAAACACTTCTGGGTACTCCCCTTAAAAACACCTACTTAAGCTCAGTCCCAACCAAACCCTTGGGGGAAACACTCATAAACTGGGGACACAACACAGCAGAACGGACTGTAGGAACACTTTTTGCTCTTTACGAGTAGTCAAATGACGGAATTCGCTGCCGGTTGAGCTCATCGGTGAGACTCCTCAAGAGTCATTTAAGGGGGAACTTGACATATTATTGAGGACTACCCCTGAAAATGCCACAGGTATTCTGAGTTTCATATCGTTTCAACCAGTTACACTTTCTAATGTGAATCCCACCCACCAGTGCAATCAAAAGTCAGGAGCGAGGAGGCTGGAAAATATATTTGATAGGCTATCACATATTAATATTCGATTTCACTCTGTACACTATTACATAAATCTACATGTATTTATCCTGGCATAGTGAAGGCGTTTTTATTTCATTTATTTATTTATTTGTTTATTTATTTTATTTTTCTAATTGCTGATTAACTTCAGAGGTTGACATTCATTGCACAATTATTATTATCATTGTTGAACCCTTTCACTAGGTGTTCATTTCCTTACTCTCTTGTTTTTCTTTCTAAGTAAATACTATTCTTAAGATTTCGAAGTTTGTAATTAAGACAATAACTTGTATCACACTTAAATTAACTTCTCAGACTTGCTTTATCTTCACTATATATATATGACTCACAAATATTGATACTTGGTTATCCTTTTCACTTAATTGAGACTTTCATAGCATCACTCCAAACTATGACTGCACAAACATTTATTCTAGCATCATATCTTACTGCAATAATAAAGTATTTTTTCTTAAATATTTTCTATTTTATTTTTGTTACTAATTTAACGGTACATACATAGTCGTTTATTGTTATTCTGTGTTCATAAACACTCCTATTAAACTATTTGCCTATTTCACGTCTCCTTTATTTCTATTCCCTTTTTTTCTTCCTTTCCGTCTTTAAACTCAATCCAATATTCTTCTCAATTACATAAAACCTGATTTGTTATTATATGTGAAAATTATATTTGAAATATTCTCAGCGATTGAAATTTAACTAATTCCAACGATATGAATAAAATAATTGTTAACTTATGGGATAGACCTCTCAACCCACATGAAATATCACTACTCAAAAAGAGTCTCAACTTCAATATAAATAGACATAAATTAACACCTTTCAATGTTATACTAACAGTAGAACTAGCGCTGAATACACTCCCGAATGATACAGCCAATGAACTGAGGAATAAAATAATGAACACATTATTACATCAGAAACCTCACAACCCCAACATAAATAAAAATGGATATTACGCATTAAAACAGCTGAGAGAGGACAAAACGGTCATAATAACTAGAGTAGATAAAGGTAGTACTACAGTTATTATGAATAAAACAGAGTATGAGAAGAAAGCCAAGGAACATCTACAAGAGGGTTCATATGAACAAATCAAAGAAGCGAAAAGTAGAGCAACTCTTAATAAACTCAAGGCGGAAACTAGCAAACTCTTACAGTCATTAAAAGCTAAGCTAGGATCGTCCTTATGGTTTATGTTATATCCAAAGAGTTGTGATCCATGCAGATTTTATGGACTACCAAAGATCCACAAGAATAATACTCCACTAAGACCAGTGGTAGACTATACAAATTCACCGACTTACAATCTAGCTAAATATTTGGCTAAGATTCTCAAACCATATGAAAAACGGATTAATCATGGAATTAAAAAGTCTATGGAATTCAAGATTTTAATTGATACCATCGATATAGAAGAAGACGAAACAATGGCAAGTTTTGATGTATCTTCCTTATTCACTAGTGTACCTATCAGTCGAGCTGTGGATATTATCAATTATTGTTTGGAATCTGATTTAGATTTGAATTTACGATGCCCATTAGATCCATCAGAGGTTATAAAATGCTTAGAATTATGTTTAAGACCTACCTTATTCATATTTCGAGGTCAATTTTACTGACAAAAAGAGGGTATAGCAATGGGCTCACCAGTTTCTTCGACTGTAGCGAATTTATTCATGCATTCCCTAGAAACTAGTGCAATTGCAAAAAGCTTATGTCCACCAAAGTTATGGTTAAGGTATGTAGACGACAATTTTATTATCAATAAACGGGATGGTATAGAAGAACTATTTAACAATGCAAACAGCATTTCTGAAAACATTAAACTAACTAAGGAATTAGAATCAGTTGACCACAAACTAGCATTTCTAGATTGTCTGGTTGAACGTCGACACAATAATAAGAAGTTAAAAATAAATGTTTACAGAAAATCAACACATTCCGAGAGATACTTGGATTTTAATTCAGCCCATTCACAGAGCACGAAAATTAATGTGGTAAAAAATCTAATGAACAGAAGTACTAAGATTGTTACAGACAAGGAAGACCAACGAACCGAATTAAATAAAGTATTTTCTACTCTTAGGGATAACAACTACCCAAAAAGGTTTTTAAAAAAGATTATTAAAAATGAAAGAAAAACTAAACTAGAAAGTATACGAAAAGAATGGAAGTACACCGTAGTCATACCTTACCGGAGTGAAACATCAGAAGAAATCAAACGGATTCTAAACAAACATGATATAAGAGTGTATTTTAGAGCAAATAACACATTAAGATCGACATTGGTGAAAGTTAAGGACAAGTTAGCAAAGGAAGAACAACAGAACATTGTGTATGAGATTCACTGTCATGACTGTAATGCTACCTATGTTGGAGAAACATCCAGGCAATTAAATGTAAGATTGAAGGAACACAAACAATGCTTGAAAAATGTTCCAAAATCCTCGGTAGATTTAAAGAAACTTGAAAATAAGTCAGCGATAGCGTTACATGCGTTAGAAACAGGACACAAGATTAATTTTGAAGGGACCAAAATACTTCAGAAAGGTTTTAACACCCATAAAGAAAGATTGACAGCAGAAGCTCTGCATATATGGGCGAACAAGAACAGCCTGAACCGAAAAGATGGTATTCAAATGGCAACTACCTGGCAAATTTCGTTTGACAAGTAAATTTGGAACCTATCTCTTGTTTAAACCTGTTTTTAATATCACATGCATCGTTATTATTATTGAAAGAACTGAATGAGTTTTTAAACAATACAATTTATGTTTTGACATGCACATCGATCTTTCATTATCAAGTTTTCATCCTTGAACTTGAACTTTATTTATTCCTTCATATCAATCTCTCACACATACATACATACCTACAGACACACACACGATTTGTTACTCAGTTAAGTATTTCCATGTAGTTGAATTCTTCACATGATTTGTAGTTAACTGACTCATTTTATCCTATTTTACAAAAAATCAACATCCAAATATGATTGGTTTAACACAGTATAATCCTGATTGTTAAAAAGCTACATATTTCCTTGATAATTTTGATTTTGATTATTACCCTGAAGAAGTCCAGACAAGTTAGCTGGACGAAACGTTGGAATTAGTTAAATTTCAATCGCTGAGAATATTTCAAATACAATTTTCACATATAATGACTTCTCTCTACTCAACGCTCAATTATTGTCGAACTATTTGTTATAATCTTGACGAATCTTCGTATAAACTGATTTGTTATTATTCTTCTATTATTATTATTCTCTTTTTCAAATATGGCAAATATAATGCTAACATTATTGAAACTTGTGTAGTATTGCATTTTTGAAGAAACATGAAATAGTTTCTTCACAACACCTATGTACCATAAGATGTCTGTGAATAATAATAATAATCTATATATAGAGGACCGTCTGATCTAATCTGGCTAGCGATTGCAGGGATGTTGAGCACAACATTCCCACTCGCGATCTGATGAGGACGCATGACCAAGCGCATTCGGCTAGGTGAGTCCATTAAAACTAATGTGGTCGGCATCCAATGTTGAAAACTTACAGAGCTATTTATTTTGGGGATTTATTTACCACTACACTTCAATATGGTTTACAGATTATTTCTCTTTCACTGTCAACTATACCTAGGTCCCTACTTGGAGACATCGGTGGTCCACTGCTCCCAGACACGAAGGCTCATTAAGTGAAAGCTTCTCCTACTCTATTCTGAACCTTCTGTAACCTTTTGAATCAGGTGATTGAATGTTGTACATTGAACTTTAAATTCCAAGGCTTCGGGACCATTTAAATTTACAGGTCATCGGATTATGAGTGGCATAGTTGGGTACGTTACTAAGTATAGTTTGAGTATTGGTTATGTAAAAATTCATACGTGACTTGAATTGCGCTCCTCATGGCTTTTTTAATTTCTGTGCTATATTAGACTTTCGGTTTCTCAGTGAATAATCTGTAGAATGAGTCATTAAACCTGATTCACTAAGTCCCCTTCGATATTCTTGACTTGAATGTGTGAAACATCAGTATCAAAGTTCAGGAAAACGCACTTCATATAGATTGAAGTGGGAACAGCCTTAACATCTTCCCTATCATCCCTAATGTGTGTGCTTTCTGCAGTCCATTTAAGTAAATAGGACTAAAAAATCACCATATTTTCTATAGATAATATTTACTTTCATGCAGTATTAATTCCCTAGCTAGCACCTTTGCGAGTCCATGTTTTCTTTAAAAGTGCACATCAACCCTATTTATGTATTCATTAAAACCAGGTTTAAATACATTCGTCTCCTTTTACTTTACTACTATTATCCTGATCCTTCTGCTATTTTTAATTCCATTAATGTATTATATGGTGCGGCAACCTAAAATAACGAGCATCAGCGCTAGGTTCTACGACGTATGGCATGTCAAGATGCAGCTTTTATTAATTCGTCAGTACAAATATTAGAGACCCTAGGTATTGGGCCTTTAAAATAAACCTCGATCAGATAATTTGTGTAGATGGAGAACATAACCAACCATTTCTAGCCCTATCATTTCCTAATTCTAATCAAACACCATCAATGTGGAGCTCCCGCGCGATTGTGATAGATTCCTAGTCGTCACATAATATCTTTAATCATTAAATGTGGTTACTGCACGAACCTCAACCAAGCAGTCTGCGTCTACTCACATGACTTAAATCAAAGTTCAGTGAATTCGTATACTAATGTCACATTTTGATCTGCCTAGCCTCAACTCTCTCCTAACCTGTATCTACCCCTGTTAAGTTTCGCTCGATGGTTAAGATTGGATATCTCGTGCGTTAGACACTTTTAATTCTTACTTTTTTAAGCGACACCATTGCGAGAAGGCAGTAAGTGGAACTCCCCTGGGATTGGGTTATAATTTGTGGTCATGTGAGAGAATTTCGAGAGAAAGGGTAGACTTGGTACCCCATGCCTTATCAGAGTACTAAAAGGCATTTTTATAATTAGCCTTTTGATTTTTATTTCATGATGTCATGTCTTTTTGACACTATCCTGGGGTGGTTCTAGTAGCTGTTTGTGTGTTTCGTGGACTATCAGCAAAGCATGTTCTTATCCATAAAAAGTTACAAGCGACCAAAGTGAAATGTGGCATCACTCCGTAAGGTCACTGACTTAAACTGAACTATGTAGGCTGGTGCAGACTATGTGGTTGGGGTTCACGCGATCGACTGTTAGAGGCTTTAGGTCGCATGGCTTGAAATCGTTCACAACGTCACGTTTGCATTCACTTCCTCCTGATCTTGAATTTCAGTATTCCTCCTTATGTACCCTCCTACTCCGTCCTTCAGAACGCTTTTGTCGATCCGCAGTCTTCCTCATTGTCGTTGCGACTTCATTATCTCAATCTCTGATATTCATCTTGTTATTTTCGTCTCGTGCTATTGCTAGGAAGACGCACTCATGTTTGTGAAATAAAATCTTGGACTTTTTTACAGATCATCTCGTGGGCTTGGGAGCAAGTATGGGCTTGGTGTCAGTTCTCTGGGATCATCCAGCGACGTCGTTCAAATACGTCTGCAGGGTGATTCCTATCCTAGTAGCGATTCTTTGGGTTTGTCCGGAATGGATATGTTCGGTGGACTATCTGGTTATGGTGTTTCTTCCGGTGTACCCTATTATGTAGACTCAATAGGTGGAAGTGTAAGTCTAGGTGGCGGAATGTTGGGATTTGACGATGAACTTGGTCACTCAGGACTAGATAATAGTGAACTTGTCCAGTTGTTGGGAGGCAGTCAAGCTATCGCCCAGCTTTCAGATAGTCAACTAGAAGAACTTGGTCGTGCACAGTTTACTATCGTGGATCCTAGGACTGACAGTGAGCTGGTAAGTTTATTAGATATATTTTGTTAAGCATTACATAATTTACTCGTTCCATCCTACATTAGTAATCCTCTTCATTAGTTAAATGCTGTATTGTCTAGAATTTTTTAAACTTGTATCACGACAACTAGACAAATCTAAGGAATAATTTTTGTAACATTTAATTGGTGATTTGTCCCCTTTGATTGCTCAAATTACTTGCTCAAAACAGATGTTTACCAGAGTCGTTCTTAGCGAGAAAGTTTCATAGTTGAACCGTGCAGTCACAAAATGCTTACAATAATCAACAAGTATGATTGACCTCACCATTAATGAACTTTTATGAAATTAACTCGAATTCAGCTTGCTCAAATCACCCCATTCATATCTTATATTTTATTAAGCTGAAGATATTCGGAGTCCCGACCATTGTTGCTACCTTGACGTAGTGGTCGGGCTTGCCTACCGTGATGAAGCAACCGAGCTATACTGAATGGAACAACCGTCCCTCAAGGTCCTACCATGTCAGACAGGTCGGTTGAAAAGCGGTAAGACTAAAAGCAACAAACCTAAGGTCCGAAGGCGAAGTTGTACTGCTGACTGTACAGAGGTGTGACAGCAGTAAGGTGTTTCCTTCAGACAACCAGCATGACAGCGATGCTGCCTTCCCACAAGTAGGGGTGGGGTTAGAAAAGGTCGACCCTAAAAATGCACACCTCGCCTTATCCCACGGATATCCGTCTCCGGCGTTAAGGTCCCAAAAAGTACGGAACTAACACAAAAATTACCCATAAAAAGGTCGTGTGTGACCAGTGTGGTCATTCACTTGACCTCACCTCGGCAAAACGGAGAGCCAACGAGATAAACCCTCCGTGTATCTGGTGACCCGATGGCTTGCTCTCGTGGACTGACAGGAGTAGGCATAGCACTAAGCATGAGGGCGGAACAAGCACTGCTAGAGTGGATCCCCGTTAACAGTCGTTTATGTGCTGTTCGAATAAACGGCTCCGTAAGAACTCGGAAGGATAGGGACACACGTCGTTGCCTTTTTTCGTTTCTGCCTACGCTTCCACCGACTGCAGCTCAGATGAAGTGAAAGATGAATTTTACAGAAAGCTAAAGGTTCAGACAGTGCTCGTAGCAGGAGACTTTAATGCCCAGATAGGTAGTTTATTTATTTATTTGAACACATATATATTGGTACAGGAGTGCGCCAAATATATATGCGCCACACAAAACAATGAGAATTTAAGAAGAAAATAAATGAGGAACGTAGAAAAAACAATAATGAAGAGATTGATGTAAGGGAGTGTAGTAATAATCATAGTCATAATGGGGGAACGGAAAGGTACAATCAGAACAAATCTTCCAGTTAAGGAAGAAACAACCATGCTTATGAAGAAAGTAAAAGGTTACAGCAGGATCGCCACTGGCTTCTATTCTGAGCCATATCTGATAACGTCTCTAGCCACTGTGTAGCACCATCTCTCGGACCCCAACCAGGGAGTCGTGAAGGACCAACACAAGCCAGTCCTTTGCAGCTTTCTTTCATGCCACGACACCATGTCATGCACTGACCACCTCTCCGCTTTCCCCAACCAGTCCCAGAGTCGGCAAATAATGCACGACGTGGAATTCTCTGGGACGACATTCGGAGAACATGTCCAAGCCACCGAAGTCGGTGTTTCAAGATGGTGACACCAATTGCATTATCATCTCTGTGCCCGAACACACGATGCCGAACCTCTGCATTACTGACATGGTGTTGCCACTGAATGTCAGCAATCCTTCGGAGACAGCGATGATCGAACACAGAGAGTCGTCTAACGTCCTCAACTCGGAGAGGCCAGGTTTCACAAGCATAGAGCAAAACTGCTCTCACCGACGCGTTGTAGATCCGACCTTTTACAGCCAGACTAACATCACGAAGGCGCCAAAGGTGGCCCAGATTGGCATAAGCCGCTCTGGCTTTCACTATTCGTGCATTGATCTCATCACTCACACCCCCACCAGCACTTATGCAGCTACCCAGATACACGAACTTCTCGACTACGTCTATCTGCTCACCATCCAGGGTGAGTACAGGATTAGAATCCTGCCAGTCTTGTAGAAGTACTTTGCACTTCGAAGGTGCAAAGCACATACCATACCTACGGACACTGATTGCCAACTGATTAAGTGCGGATTGCATGCCTTGGGCATTATCGCACAGTAAGACAATATCGTCCGCATACTCAAGGTCGAGAAGTCTTTCTCCAGGCAACAGATCCACACCACCATTACTTACATTCATCAGAGCTGTTTCCAGAATGTCATCGATGGCAAAGTTGAAGAGGAATGGTGAGATTGGGCAACCCTGCCTAACCCCACTGCTCGAATGGAACAATGGAGAGAGGTGGTTGTATGCCCTCACTCTGCCTGAGGTGGTTTTATATAGGGCTTTTAGGATGTTAATAAACTTCTCAGGCACACCCTTCTTCAATAGACAATCCCAGAGAACAGTCCTGTCCAACGAATCGAAGGCAGCCCTGATGTCAAGAAACACTACGATTGTTGGCCTTTGAAAGTATGGCGGTGTTCTAACATTTGGCGGAGGGTGAAGATATGATCAATACATCCTCGACCAGAACGAAACCCAGCCTGCTCCTCGCGAGTCAATCTTTCTCGGGTTTTGAACAACCTACGAAGTATGACGGAAGCCAATAGCTTGGACGCAATCGGAAGTAGACTTATCCCCCGATAGTTGTTACAGGAACGACGTGAACCCTTTTTAAAGATAGGGACAACTATCGACTCATTCCATGACGTTGGTACACTCTCTAGTTCCCAAACCTTTGTAAACAACGTCGTCAATTCCTTAGTCAAAAAGTCACCACCATCTTTAAAAAGAGCCGGAGGTAAGTCATCTGGGCCAGGTGATTTGTAACGCTTCAAGAGTTGGAGTTCCTTGCGGACTTCCTCCTCATTTGGTGGATCAGTCGTCACCGGCCATGGAGGGCAGGACAGTCTGACCGATGTTGCCGGAGCAGCAGGCCAGTTGAACTGCCCTTCGAAAAATTCTGCCCATCGTCCAAGACGTCGATGGATGTTAGTGATTGGCATCCCATCATCCTCGCAGATTGTTTCACTCACACCAGACTTCTTGCTGCCAGTGGCTCGGATGAGCTGGAAGAGCTTCCGGTAGTTACCAGATGCAGCTGCTGCTTCCAGCTCATTAGCACGCATCGACCACCAGGCTTCTCGGTCCTTACGCAAGCTTTGCCCAATTTCCTTACGTAACATCCTTCGTTTATGGTCAAACTCACGGTCACCCGGAGTAGACCGACGGGCTTCAATGAGTTGTAAGGAACCAGAAGAAACCCAGTGCTTAAAGCGGGACGTTTCGCAAACCCACAACTGACTGTTCCCGCCATTTTCATGGCGTCATGCAATTGCAACCAATGCTCATCTATACTTTTCGGTGGAGTGGTAGCTAGCCTAGAGGCTAGCTCGGTTCGATACTTACTTGCAACAGAAGTTGCAACCAGCTTGCTAACATCAATCCGTTGATGGCGGTCACTTCGTTGTCCACTGAAAAGTAAGGCAAGATTGGCGCAGACCAAGGCATGGTCAGAGTCCAGATAGGTACTCCAAAAGGAGCGGCAGTCTTGTACACAACCACGCCAGCGGTAGCTGATCGCGATGTGATCAATCTGAGTCCAGGCTTGAGATGCAGAGGGAGGACGCCAGGTGGCACATCGGCGATGACTGTGCCGAAAGTTAGTGCTAGCCAGAAACAGGTTGTGGTCTGTGCAAAGTTGCAGTAGACGGTCCCCGTTATCTGACCTGCGACCAACGAGTCCCCATCGGCCACCTAAACGACTCTCTTCTGTGCCTAGACGCCCGACCTGAGCATTCAAGTCTCCGGCTAGTACTACAATATCTGTCGAACGCACTTTCTGGAGAAGAACAGATAACTGGTGGTAAAACTCATCCTTGATTGCATCCGGGCTGCAATCTGTCGGGGCATAGGCGGAGATGACGAAAAGACATCGTTTCTCACGCCGATTTCTTCTCACTTTGATGGAACTTTCTAATCTAACAGCACATAACCGACTGTTAATGGGGATCCAATCGACTAGTGCTGCCTCAGCTCTAGCGCTTAGTGCGACACCAACGCCAGCAAGACCAGACGAAGATGCCACAGGGTCCCCGGATAAGCGCACGTAAAACAAGCTTTTCGAAGCGACAGATGGAGATCGAATTTGTAGTACTTCGCCAGAGTCTTGAATACGGGTCTCGGATAGACAACAAACATCAATATTAAGACTTTCCAAAGACATAGCCAGCCCTATCTGTTGTCCGACCTGCATAAATGTGCGAACGTTGAAGGCAGCCAGTTTGAATGGTGCACGTGGTTTCAGAAAAACTGCTTCAGTCCTCGTATTCGGTGGTAACATACAATTTTCAACCGGACAGTGACTCGAGAACGTTTAGATAAAGTCGAATTTCCACCATAGACGAGCTGCTGTATAAGTCGAAAAATAAGTATAGACAGAGTAGGAATAAAAGAGGGTGAATAATGATGTAGTAAATAATAATAATAATAATAATAATAATAATAATAGTAGCAATATTAATATTTGAATCATTTGAATGTTCGTCGAAGCAAGAGAATTAGTTTCCATGATCATAGACAGTTCAGTTCATTAATTGTGTGTGGGCTGTGATACTGCCCGGGTGCCCAAACCGAAGCAGGTGGTTTTCTTAGGGGGCCACACCTCGAGCGTTTGACCTAATGGTCTAACCCACAAGGCAGTGGAGCATCGTGAGGAGATGCAGTCCCATGGTAGCCGGTGACCGAAAATTGGTTCATACGCCATTTGTTCCCGCAGGATACTGGAGCCCATGTGCACCATTGGTTTAGAATCCAATTAAAGCGCCGGACATTCACTTTTCGTCCTCTCATTTTCGTAAACAACAGTAATGCCACGAGAAGGCAGTGAGTAGGACTTCCCTGGCAGAGGCTGTATACGCGTGGCCGTGTGAGAGTATTTCGAGAGGGAGGGCGAACCCACCCCTCTCTCAGCCATACCAGGGCATTTGGGGTAGTTTAAACTAAACAGAAAGGCATTTAGGTGGGTATTTTAGTATTCCGGCACAACGAACAGATAATGGTGATCGTCTGCTGCCACTGTACTCAGACAATCGTTTATTTTTAGCAAACACAGATTTTAAGCATAAGGAGAGACATCGTCTAACATGGCGACCCCCTACACCAAACCAACGATGGACTCAAATAGACCATATTGCCATCAATCATCATTGGAGAGGGTCGGTAGAAGATTGTCGTTCGTTCTGGAGTACCTGCCTGGACTCCGACCATGCCCTAATACGGGCACGCATCTGCTTGCTCCTCACTGGACGCAAAAAAGCCACAGTAAAAAGACCCATTAGAACTGAATTGAGTAGCGAGAAAACCAAAAGTAGGTTCCAGGAACAACTGAGGTCACAATTAGGTATTTCTGAAAACGAAGTTGACCCAGATGTTGCTTGGAAAGCTACACAAACAGCTGTGGAAACAGCAGTGACATAGATCAATGATTTAGACCACAGGGTTACAAAGAACCAATGGATTTCCTCTAGGTCTATTGCAATGATGGATTCTCGTAAACTCATCCCATCAGGCTCTGAACATGATGAAGAGCGACAACAAATCAGATCTAGGTTAGGCAAAAGTCTAAGGAACGACCGTGAGCAGTGGTGGGCAACGAAAACAAAAGAGATGGAAAAGGCGGCGACTATAGGGAACACAAGACAGCTTTATAGACTAATAAAAGAAACTGGAATTAATAAGTCAAGTGTAAGTGAGACTATTTCGGAAAAGACGACACCCTGCTCTCAGTCCAGACGTTTAGAACGATGGGCGGAACATTTCAGAGAACAGTTCAGTTGGCCTTCAGCTGCCTTCAACTACCCTCCATTCCCAGACAGTGCGAATGGAACATTGAAGTAGGTCCCCCAACTCCAGCTGAAGTTCAAAAGGCTATAGTTAATCTGAAACGAGGAAGGCCAGCTGGTTCAGATGGATTGGCTCCAGAGGTTTTTAAGGATGGTGGTCCAATTTTAGCGATTAGGTTGACTAATATTTTAGCTAAGATCTGGGAGTTAGACGTTATTCCATCTGACTGGTCACAATCACTTATCGTCCTAATATATAAGAGAGGGTTAAAATCATCCTGTGACAACCACAGGGGGATTAGTTTAACTAATATAGTATCTAAAATACTAGCCTCGATAATTATCAGACGCCTAACTAAGACCCGTGAACTGCGAACACGAGAAAACCAAGTTGGCTTCAGATCTGTTCGTGGCTGCATCGACTACATATTCACCATTCGTCAGGTTCTAGAACACAGGCATACTTATCGGCGACCGACAATAGTGGTCTTTTTTGACTTAGAAGCAGTATTTGACTCTGTAAACCGCGAGATTATGTGGCAGTGTCTGTCATTGAAAGGCGTACCTCAGAAGTACATAAACCTTGTGAAGGCTCTTTACTCGAACACTACTAGTCGAATCAGAGCTTATGGCGAACTGTCATCTTCTTTTGCAACCTCAAGTGGTGTCCGTCAAGGCTGTCCACTTTTTCCATTTTTTAAAATTTCATCATAGACCTACTGATGGAAATAACTTTCTCGTCGACTGAATTCTCGGGTATTGATCTCCTACCAGAAGGTCCACTTATTGACTTAGAATACGCGGATGACATAGTCCTGTTTGGTGAAGACGCTGATAGAATGCAGAGTCTTTTGGTAGCACTGAGCAACATTACCGGAATGTTTGGGATACTCTTCTCTCCCTCTAAATGCAAGTTATTGCTTCAGTACTGGTCTGCGTCAACACCTGAACTAAGGATAGGGAGTGAAGTAGTCGAACGCGTTGACAACTTCACTTATCTTGGAATTCTGATCAGCCCTAATGGGTTGGTGTCTGACGAAATCTCAGCACGGATTCGAAAAGCTCGGTTGGCTTTTGCCAACTTACGTCGCCTATGGCGAAGGTGAGATATTGGTCTATCGATAAAAGGACGAGTATATTGCGCGACAGTTCGTTCTGTTCTACTTAACGGCTGCGAAACGTAGCCATTAAGAGTAGAAGATACTCGTGAGTTACTAGTATTCGATCACAGATGTCTTAGAAATATGGCTTGCATCTGCTGGGATCACCGATTAAGCAATAGTAAGGTTAGACGCAGGGTATTAGGGAATGATGATAAATCAGTTGATGAGGTTGTGAATCTCCATCGACTGAGATGGTTGGGCTACGTATTACGTATGCCTGAACACCGATTACCACGACGCGCAATGCTAACGGGTGTTAGAGATGGTTGGAAGAGAATTAGGGGCGGCCAAATCAAAACGTGGCATCAGTGCTTCAAGTCACTAACTTCAGGTTTGAGCTATGTTGGTAGATGCAGACTACTTGGTTGGGGTCCTCGTGACTTTCGTAACCGATGGTTGGGGACTCTTGGTGACATGGCTCAGAATCGATCACAATGACGTTGGTGTATACACTCCGTGAGATTGAAATTTTTTTATACCTTTCTTTCTACGAACTAATTCTTTCTTCCTGTACTGTATCCTTATACACAATCTTACTTTTATACATTACTACTATTGAAGTGACTACTACTACTATGAATTTGGTGTTCATCTTGTTGTGCTAATAAGGTGTGGCAACTTGGACAGATGCATATATATGCCTTGTCCTACGTTGTAGTTGACTGACTGACCATCATCTTTAAAATTCTCAGGGGTTAGCCCACCAGACGTGTCTCATATCCCTCGTCTGAGATTGCTTATATCTTTTTCAACCTCAGTAAGAGTTGAAGGACTTACATCAATTTTCCATTTAGGATTAAAAGTGAATTATAATCCCACGTGTTTCCGAGATAGTCTAACTTAAATCCAGATTTTATTACCCGTTTCCTTAATTGGCCTAAACAGTTGTCTAGTGTTACTTATCGTCACAGCCTTCTCCATCTCTTCAGTTTTCGCTGCCGACCACTGCTCACGATCATTGCGTAGGCTTTTTATCAGCCTACATTTAAGCTACCTCCACTCCTCATTGTGTCCGGAGCCAGGCGGGATGAGTTTTCGAGCACCTGTCAGTTCAGTAGACCCGACTGAGTTGCTGTATCAAGTTTGGTGTTTAGTATGTGCAATCTTTTTATCGTCGTAGTTGTTTCACACAGATCATGCTACACATATCAATATATTCACCTTTTACATCCATTTGCAGCAAACTGTCCTCTAAGTTTATCCGTGGAAGAAGATGATCGACCTTTAGATGAAGATGAGATCTTGTGTGTAACCAAAGCAAGATGCCTGGATCGTGTTCGTGTCCTGTCTGTTCCAGCTTCCGGATATACAAGTATAAATACTGGTGATCTTGCTAAATGCATCAATCTACGTGAATTAGATTTGTCAGAGAATGCATTACGCGTATTCCCCAGACGTCTGCATTTACCGCAGTTAACAAAACTCAGCATTACAGGGAATAGATTTATACACCTACCGTTGTTTGAACAATTTCCTAAACTCATTCGATTGAATTTAGACGACAAACTGAAACAAGTATGTCTGGTTTTTATTCTTTGTAATATGTATTTAAATTGTCAGAATAAACGCTTGTAAACTAATTATAAGTATGGCACTACTACTTCTACCACCTAGTAGTAATAATGATAATAATAACACCTTACTCCGGCAACAAATGTTTCCATCGGAAGGAATCTCCAGTACGAAAATACACATTTTTGCTATACATTCCTCCCTAACACACATTTCGATTATAAATATTCAGAAAATATATTTGAAATAAACGTTTAATATTAGCGATCATTTGCAGTTTATCTTCAATTGCAAATATCTCCTATGAATTACTCAACTTGATTTCTTTTAATCTATAAATTATTGGATGTATGAACTCCAATCTAATCGCCCCTCGTTTGTGGATTTTACTATCATATTATTTTGTAAGCGTACTGTAGTAGCCTGTAAGTACATTTTGCAGCCAATACATATACTAACTAGTCAGTAAATATAAAATAAGAAACTTTCTTGCAACATTTACACATTTGAAAACAGTTACCTCAAATATTTATGCAGGCGGCCAAGTTGGCTCTTGAAACATAGATAACAGACAAGTATTATGGTAAAGTATCAGAAAGGCGAGTAACAATTCAAGTACTTTTTATTGATGGTTACCAACGAATGAATAGACAAATGTGGAGGTAATAACATGTAGTCATTGAACTGTAAAATCAGAATTCAACTCAATACCAGTGAAGAAAAGTAAAAAAAAATCCTACTACTAATCGACTGGCATATTTAAATGGGTAGTAGAGTCACTCCTGATTTTAAACTGTACGAAAGAAACATTATTAAAAAGATAGGCAGATTTTTCAACAGATTTAGAAGAAATTTATTCGGTGTCTCAATATTGCAAACACAAAGGCTCTAATATATTGGACAGATAATTTGAAGGTGGTGTTGATATGACATCAACTACTTAATCTTACATATGATTCGAAGTCTCATTTATTTTCACGCAGACTGTAGATTCGAACACAATAGTGCATTGTACTCCAATCCTAAAGAATTAGCGTGCATCTGAATGCGTTGGCACCGAAATGTCACCAACCATAATTAATTACGGAATCACTTTCTGAGTTTTCTTTTCTAGTATCAATACAAATCATATACCAAACGTTCGAAACAAAACTTGTTTATTGGTCATTTGATCAAAGGTGATAATAAAATGAGCTTTTCTGTTACACTGGTTCTGCCCCTTCAAATACTATATATGCTATATAACATTTTGTCCCACGTAGTTCCCTAACAATGTTTGACATACATGATCTTAATAGACAAACACCATCAAATTTACATCTTACGGAAACTGGCCTGAACACAATATTGTTGAAAACTATATGAGAGATATACTCGGGTAAACGTAATAACGTACAAATATCCTAAAAAACATATGTGTTTGGATATACCAAATAAGTTGTCATTGGATAGGTCATACAAGCGTGCTTGTTAGTTTGCGATTTCCTGTGTCTTTGTTAACATCTAATTTCAAGAAAGTCTTAATAGTCTCCTAAATGAATGACAATACTTAGTGCTTAATGTTAAGTTGGTTTCTCCTAACAATCATATGGTCATGTTACCCCTTTAAATTTTTCTATTGTTAGGTTGATAAAAAGGAATATTTAATTATCCAGATTATGTCATCCACTGTTTATCATATATTTCATCATCTATTTCCTAATCACTTGTCTTTTTTGTAGTTATTAAACCCTCAAATGTTAGTCTATTTTTGTCCGAAACTTAAGTATATTAATGGTATATATTTTGAAGAAATGCCAACCGATTTCACAGTTCGTATTATTCAAGAAGCACGGTCAATAATGGAACCTATTGTAAGTGATTGTTTCATGGTATAAATTACTATTATTAATCCTGTATTGAACAAGTAGTTCTAGATGAACACCCGTCTCTTTAATTGAATCCATGATCACAAATTATAACGATCTTCACTTACCTATTATTCCGAAATAGCCAGAATCATAGATTAAAATGGTTACCTCAATTCTCAAAAACAGGTATCGTTAATTTAAAGTAAGAGGGAGCAGCAGACCTTAATGGGCTAACTCCGGTGATCTTTAAGGGTGATGATTCGGTTTTTACAATGAGATAAACCGAGATATTAGCTAGAGTTTGGAATTTGGACGTAATCTTTTCTGACAAGTTTCGATCGTCCAGGTCTATGAGAAAGGACAGATCCTCTTGCGATGCCCACAGAGGGATCAGTTTGGCTAATATGGTGTCTAAAATATCATCCGACGCCTAACACACCATGTTTTTTGGCATAGGAGTAGGTTAGAAGAAAGGGGCTGCTATGCCAAGACGTAGCGTCAGTTCATAAAGTCACTAACATTTGGACTGAGCCGTGTTGGTACATGCAAACTACCAGCTTTTACCCTGCACGATTATCACAATTAATGGTTGTAGGCTGTGACAAAGCCCGAAATCGATCGCAGGAGTGCAGATTCATTCTTTATCTTCCCTTAGATTTTGAGTGTTCAAAATTATCTTATACTCCTTCATTCTATGAAGAGATTTTTTCTTCTTGAATCATATTGTGTATCCCTAATCTTTTCTGGTACTACTAGTACTGTCGCTACTTCCACTACTCTGACACTTGTCTCGATACTTTCATCTGGCTGTGATAGTGCATGATGTGACAGCTTGGTCTTATTAAGTTAGAAAGCATTATATGTAAGAACCTGTAAAAATAACTCAATTTTTCTGTAAAGTTGATTAGTAGCTTGTGTACTGACAAAAATATGCTCTGAGATTAAGAGTATGATGTTTACCTCAATATCTCTTTATGCTGTTAATTATATGCTCTCATGTTTCAGATAAGATCAAAATGGGAAACAGACTTTGCTGATCAGTATCCTTTTGTTAAAAATCGAGAAGAACGTATGTCATTGATTGAAAACATGATGGAGCATATAAAAGAGCGTAATCTTCTGGTTGGTGAAGCCTTAAACAAGTATAAAGATTTATTGGTAAGTGTGATTGTGTTTTTCTCATATGGTTCAGTGTTTTTTTGTGCAGTTTTAGTAATTTCAATATACATCTTTAATAGCCATGAGTTTCATATCGATAAAACAGTAGTCATAGTTTTAGTCATCATATTTCGAAATAAGTGTTTCTAGTTTATGCCGCGTGATGACATTTCGGGACCAAACTATATCAGTTTTATTACGGAACTGATGTACCTCTTCATTACGGTTTCGAGAAACGTTTATACCGAAGATAATTTATGATTCCCTATTTTTTGTGCATTCTTCTCTGTTTTGCATCGTAACAGAAGTATTTATCCATTCTGTTACTACTAACATTTGTCGAACATTCATCTGCTTGGGAATTCGAAAGTTTTGTTGTTTTTACTTATTAGTAAAAATAGTAGTATGATATTTTTAATATATTTTTTAGTGTTGCGTCTAATGTTATTAGCTATTTTTGTTGCCATTACTTAATATTTCCCATACAAGTAACTTTGCTTCTTTTTTTAAACAGCAATAACAATATCTTGGTATTTATTAATTCTTCTCTCAGTATCGTTTGTATCATGTTACGAACTTTAAGATAATTAATGTCCAGTTCTTGTTATTATTCATATAAATCAGTACTCAACACAGCGGTTAAATCATAAATTTGGTTTCATCCACTGTAATCAGTGTTTTTATCCTCACACATTAAATCAATATTTTAGTGTAACATGCCAGTACTTACATAGTCGCTATCAACCCTATCACTTTTATTTATCTTTTTTCACTTGTTGCTTTGTTTTCTCTTCACTTACCCAGTTGTTTCGTTGTATCGATGAGTTTCTACGATCCATGATATATGATGCCACGGATAGGGAATTGTTGCATGCAGTTAATTCTCTGGATGCTCCTAAACCAATTACAGATGTAGAGAATTCTACGGATGTCACTCATACTACTACGACTACTACTGATGTTACAAATAAATTATTTATCAAATCAGGTGAATCCACCGCTAATGAGAATCATACTTTGACAGAAACCATCACAAATAAAATGACTGATAACTATTTGACTGAATCGGTTGATGATGGCGCTGCTGCTAATGATAATGATGGGGATATTACTGGTGGTGCTAATATTACTACTACCACTGCTATCACCAGTCAACATGAGAATATTGATTCATTACAGTTGCGTACAAAACTTTCTGCATGTGATTTAGAATCTGACGACATACAAGATGATGAAGATGATGATGAGGGGGAAGAAAAAGAAGCAGCTGCGCGAGCTGCAAGTTAGTTCCAAACTTGTTTATTTTTTTTCCAGGTCTCTAATATATATAGTTTGGGTGAATTATTCAAATCCAAAGTTCAGTTGTTTACCATACTCTTCATCTCTCTAGACACTTGGGATAAAAATAATGTTATATTATCCATCCTTCTGCTCCTTCCTAAAACGAAGGAAAAAAATTTGTTTCTTTTAAATTTACCTGCTTGATGAAAGCTACCAATCGCATATCAACATCTCAAATCCCTTCTTGATTATGTTTCACTTTCGGTACTCTGTATCAGAGAGATGATTGATTGTAGCCTTGCTAGAACACGTAACTTTATTAACATGAATATGTGTTGCGAAATCATCCAGCTATGAGAAATACAGACATCTATAGCATAATTTATAAACCAATACCAAACCATTCACCTATCGGATATTATTTCAGTCGAATGGCGCCAAATCCGACCAACCATAGATGAGAAAGTGTGCACAATTATTACTTCACGGTTGCTGTCTCATTCATTTTTAAGGAATTCGAACTAGCTTATGGTAATTCGGTCGAAGTACTTACAACATGTTTCTAGTTTCAGTGTATCCCAATGTTGGCATATTACCTCGACTAATGAGCTTCAAATCATAAAGCAATCAACCTAGCAAAGGTCATTACTGACAATCATTAGGTGTTACTGTTTTTGGAAATAGAATCCTGGCTAGCTTTTTTTAGCATGATTAACTTTATGATGAATGAAGTTTGTCGTTTTCTAGCAAAGCTATTAAAGTGTTTTGAGTTAACCCAGCTTTCGGTGATTGTCTAGTTTCTCTTAATAAGTGTTTGTCACTTATAATTTTAATGAATATCTTTGATTTATCATTCTATGTGTTATTGTTGAACATTATTCATTCTAAGTAATGTGATATATGTTAGTAATAACGATAGTAAGTAATGAATCGTCAACTGTTGTACATCTAAAGTGCATCACGAGTTATCCGTTAGATAACGCATCAACCGATAAGATAAAAAGCTTTCCCTAGAAATTCCTTATTCATATATGAAACCATAACGAACTGAAATTACGCATTCAATTATTTGGTTAGACAGATGAATTCCATTGCAACTCCTTTTTTTATGAGAATAAGATCTCCTGCCGTTACTTATTCAGTTTAATTGCAATGGATTAGTATACATGCTGAGTAGTTTTCGTCATATTAAATTCTATTCTCAGGCTATTTCACAAAAGTTATGATTAGCCAATTTAAATAATGCAGGCAAAAACAAATAACCAAAAAGATCTTTAGTTATTGAAAGTGTATCCATAATTCTTTTTGATAAGTGGACTGTCAGATATTTTACGTGGATAATCTCAATTTATTACATGGCTTTTTTATAAACTTAAATCCTCAAAAGTCTTCATACCTAACATGCAAATATAATGCCTCAAGAGTTTATACTTCTTACACATCCATCAATTCAACTATATTCATTAAAGTAACATGTTTAAATAGCTCCTTCATGGTTTTCAATATTCGGAATTTAAACTGTAATTGATTACAGTAAGTAGGTCATTTCTTTTACAAACACGTTTTGTAATATTTTAAAACGGTTAATGTATGACATTCTTTTCTTTCATGCTATAGATGAATGTGCGCTGTTCGATGCTACCGACGAATTGTTAGGTACTCATTTACCTGATTTACAATTATTAGCTCAAAGTGCTAATCAACTGCAAACTACTTTTTTTGTGGATTCAATGGGTCGTTTACATCAACAACAAGTACTTCTCACTCCGAATGGTGCTTGTCAGTTAGGTTTACAAACCAATGGACTATCAAATTATCAACTGCATTTGGGACGGTCATTACGTCAAGGTCGTTCTATAGTTATGACTGTTGTTCGTCCACGTGGTATCAGTGGGCGACCAGTGGCCGAATTTTTGCCCGGTGAACTGCGTAACAAAGATTATGTCAAAGGTTATATGGCCTCTGAGATATATAAGAAGGCTGTCAAAGATACTTTAGGTCAAAAAACAACTCCTAAGAAGTGAGTATGATCTTGTAAGACTATATCAACTTGTATATGTATTATTTTGATAAGCATCATACGTTTCCTTGATGTAACTATACTTTTCTTGAATGTGCCACAAAATTATAATAGTAATGGTTTCCAGCACACTATTCATATTCATTCTTTGGGTGAACTGTTAGACATACTTATAATATGACTGGATTAATAATGTCCCTAATCGACAAAATTATACTACGAGAAATTTATGCTTTTCTGTTCCGACGCTCACTCCATTTGGTGTATACGTTTTCACAGAAGATAAATATATACATTTTATCATACTATTTCTATTTTAGTCCAGTTCAATTCAGATATGTTTTATTTTAAGGAAGTTTAAGACTTTATCATTTGCAGATAGTCATCTAAAACCCATCAAACTCAAACGTAATGTATCCGGGCACTTATTAACAAAATACGCATGCAACTTTAAGAAATAGATTCTCGTAAGATCTAAGTAGTTATTGTTCAGTGACTCAATAATAAAGACTACTACCGACCCTCTTGGTTATTGATAGGGATTTCCAGTAGATTAGTGGTTCGCGAAATCAAAATTACTGTTAATAATATGTATAGTAGTGTATGGTGAGACTGATAATACCTTGTCAAGTATAATTTTGTACAGAAATTGTTTGATAGATGCTAAGTAATATGGTCGTTTATTTCTCAGTTATTAGATAAACGTATGTTGAAGAGATTAATTTTATCAATTTAAATAACTTCAACTTCTTTGGCCATTGATTCGGGAAGCTGCACGTTGGAAAGTAAATATCTAAATGTGATCAGACACATACTATTTTGTTGTTTCTGTTTTTCTTTCATAACACATTCATGTATATATAGTACCACCCGGTAATTGAATGAATCAGCATCAGTAGCACTTTTGTTTCTATTGTATTCCTTCTTGACTTGTTCTCTGATCATGCATCTTTCTGACTTTATGGTTGAATGTAATCTCAATAGCTAGCTTCTTACAATAGTAATATCTCCGAATAGATCATCGTAAATCTTACGTACTTTTATACCAGGTTCTACTTGTTAAGTCGAGGGATATATACTACATTAGGTTGACAGTTAATCATTTCCTAATGTATCTAATTTAATGAACATTTTTTGATCTGGTGATATTTTAAAAAACGTATCTGCAAATGCTTGATAGACGTACTGGTACTGGTAAAATTCGGAAATCCGATCAAATTAATACATCAACAGGGGAACGTCCTTGGCCTGGATCGACGACAACTAGTACGATTCCATTAGGCGAACTGAACACGGAATTGGGTAATACAGGAGCACCTACCAAAAGAGTGACTTGTACATCCAACCAGATGGCGAGTTCACGAACCGGATCAAATCGGCCGAGTAAAGTCGACTTTGATGTCGGCGAAGACACAGGTGGCGCAACAGGCGGTCTTCCTCCTCGACCAAAGAAACGGAAGTCTATGGGAATGCATAGGTAACGTTATTTTAATTGTAACGATTCCATTTTTACCTACTATATTTATTGAACGTGTATTGTAACAGTAGATCTAGTGCCTTTTACTAAAGGATTTTATCAACATTAACTGATGACACTTTTAGCTCACTCATGATATCATCTACCAGCGCTACAACCTTCATTCACATCATTAGAAAGCACTTGTTTTTTATCATTATGATTACTTACTTACTTTACTTACGCCTGTTACTCCTAATGGAGCATAGGCCGCTGACCAGCATTCTCCAACCCACTCTGTCCTGGGCCTTCTTTTCTAGTTCCATCCAATTCTTGTTCATTTTTCTCATGTCTATCTCCATTTCTCGGCGTAATGTGTTCTTTGGTCTTCCTCTTTTCCTTTGGCCTTCAGGATTCCATGTGAGGGCTTGTCTTGTGACGCAGTTGGGTGCTTTCCTCAATGTGTGTCCTATCCACTTCCAGCGCTTCTTCCTGATTTCTTCCTCCGCTGGGATCTGGTTTGTTCTCTCCCACAGTACGTTGTTGCTAATAGTGTCCGGCCAACGGATCTGAAGTATTTTGCGTAGACAACTGTTAATAAACACCTGTATTTTCTGGATGATGGCTTTCGTAGTTCTCCAGGTTTCTGCCCCATACAGTAGAACTGTCTTGACATTTGTATTGAAAATCCTGACCTTGGTGTTGGTTGACAGTTGCTTTGAGTTCCAGATGTTCCTCAGTTGTAAATATGCTGCTCTTGCTTTGCCGATCCGCGCCTTCACATCTGCATCAGATCCACCCTGTTCATCAATGATGCTGCCCAAATATGTAAAGGTTTTTACATCTTCCAAATCTTCTCCGTCAATTGTGATTGGATTGGTGCATTCTGTGTTGTATCGGAGAATCCTGCTTTTCCCTTTGTGTATATTGAGACCTACTGCTGCTGAGGCTGCTGCCACACTGTTCGTCTTCTGCATCTGTTGTTGCGTTTGGGATAGAAGGGCCAGATCATCTGCGAAGTCTAGATTGCCAACTGCATCCTAGATGTCCATTGTATCCCGTGCTTCCCTTCAGACGTTGACGTCTTCATGATCCAGTCGATCACCAGGAGAAAGAGAAAGGGTGAGAGTAAGCAACCTTGCCTGACACCGGTCTTCACTTCGAACGACTTTGTCAACTGTCCTCCATGCACGATTTTGCAGTGTAATCCATCATATGAGTTCTGTATGATATTGACTATCTTCTGAGGCACGCCGTAGTGTCGAAGAAGTTTCCATAGTGTTGTTCTGTCCACGCTATCAAATGCCTTTTCGTAGTCAATGAAGTTGATGTAGAGTGATGAATTCCATTCAATTGATTGTTCCACAATGATCCGTAGAGTTGCGATTTGGTCTGTACACGATCTATCCTTACGGAATCCTGCCTGTTGGTCACGAAGTTGGGCGTCTACGCAGTCCTTCATCCTGTTTAACAATACCCTGTTGAAGACTTTTCCCGGTATTGAGAGAAGAGTGATGCCCCTGTAGTTATCACACTTGCTGAGATCGCCTTTCTTCGGTATTTTGATCAGAAGTCCTTCTTTCCAGTCTGTTGGTACTTGTTCCTCATCCCAAATCTTATTGAAGAGAATGTGGAGTATCCTTGCAGTTGCCGCTACGTCTGCTTTTAGTGCCTCTGCTGGGATGTTGTCCGGTCCTGCTGCTTTGCCACTCTTGATTTGTCTGATGGCCATGCTGATTTCTTCAATTGTTGGTGGGCCAACATTGATTGGGAGGTCCGTGGGTGCTGCTTCGATGTTGGGTGGGTTCAGTGGAGCTGGTCGATTCAAGAGTTCTTTGAAGTGTTCTACCCACCTGTTTTGTTGCTCTTCAATGTTGGTGATTACCTTGCCTTCCTTGCTTTTCACTGGTCGTTCTGGTTTGCGGCGATTTCCAGAGAGTTTCTTTGTCGTGTCATACAGTTGTCTCATGTTTCCTTCTCTTGCAGCCTTTTCCGCCGTCGTTGCTAAATCTTCCACATATTTACGTTTGTCGGTTCTGATGCTCCTCTTCACTTGTTTGTTTACTTCTGTGTATTCAGCTTGTGCCTTGGCTTTTTCTGCTCTTGTTCGACTGGTATTGATTGCTGCCTTCTTGTTCCTCCTTTCTTGAATCTTATCCAGTGTATCAACAGTGATCCATTCCTTGTGATGGTGCTTCTTGTGACCCAGGACCTCATGACATGTTGAAGTGATTGCCTCTTTGATCCCCTTCCAGTTGCTCTCCACAGTAGTTCCTTCTCCATTGAGTAGATCATGAAAGGCCTGGAACTTGTTGCTGAGGACTATCTTGAATTTGTTGAGTTTGTTAGTATCCTGAAGAAAGGCCGTATTGAACTTTTGTGATATTGTCCGCCCCGTTGTCCAGTGCTTCTTGAGTTTCAATTTCATCTTGGCGACCAGCAAGTGATGATCTGATGCTATATCAGCTCCTCTCTTGGTTCTCACGTCCTCTATAGTCCTCCTGAACGTTTTGTTGATGCAAATATGGTCGATTTGGTTTTGGTGTGTGATCCGGTGAAGTCCATGTGGTTTTGTGTATGCGTTTATGTGGGAATATGGTGCCGCCTATGACCAGTTTATTGAAGGCACATAGATTTGCAAATCTCTCACCATTTTCGTTTCTTTCTCCCAGTCCGTGTCGTCCCATGATGTCTTCATATCCAGTGTTGTCCGTTCCAACCTTGGCGTTGAAATCTCCCATCAGAATGGTCAGGTCCTTTGTTGGGCACTTCTCGACGATTGACTGCAGCCTATTGTAGAATTGATCTTTAGCGTCTTCATTGTAGTCGTTGGTAGGCGCATAGCATTGGATGATGTTCATTGAAATGCCCTCTTTCTTTGTTTTGAACGAGGCTTTGATGATCCTTGGTCCATGAGATTCCCATCCTATAAGTGCATTTTGCGCTTGTTTGGACAGCATCAATGCAACTCCTTGTGTATGTGGTGCATTTTCTTCTTCATGGCCGGAGTATAACAGGAGCTCTCCTGTAGTTAGTCGTTGTTGTCCAACTTGTGTCCAATGTGTTTCACTGATCCCAAGTACCTCTAGGTTGTATCTTCTCATTTCTGCAGCAATTTGGAAGGCTCTCCCGGTGTCCCACATTGTACGAACATTCCATGTACCTAAATAAATGGTCGCTCTGGTTGTCAGAAGGGGCATCGGCCTCGTAACTTCCGAAGGAATTCGGCTTTCATCATGAGGCGTCATAATTCTTCTAAATGAAGACCTTCTGACTCCCAGGGCAGAGTTTAAAAGGTTTGAATAATTTTTTCTGGTTAGCGTTTTTTTAGCGAGTTAGTTTTCTACGGGATGGGGACGCTAACCCCATGCCCAACCCTCCTCCTTTATCCGGGCTTGGGACCGACAGTAGCCCCCGGAGGGACTCCAGGCGGAGTTATGATTACTTGCTACTTTCAGTTATTTTCTATAATTCATCATCATTGAATAAGTGGTGCCTTAACCGCTATAAACCATTATACTTGGTCCTGCATCCCTGTTAGTCGTTCACTGAGCACAATATACTACAGTATATTATATACCTTAGCTTTGCTACTAAAATTATATGGGAAGGATTTCATCATTTTTTATTACTTATTATTTTATTATTTGTCAAATGGCTGTTTTACAGTATGTTGACGTAGTGTGAAATTCAGTTGACAGATATTCAAGACTTGTCGTTGGTGAAGCAAGCAACAGAATGGATCAGTTGAATTAAATTCACCTCTGACGGTTAAGTATGACACTGGCTACTCACCTAGCAACTGTTCAGCGTTAAGTTATAATGGTACTAGTTCTGGCAGTATGGGAAACACGTTTGCCAGTAATCTATCTTTACGTTATACTCTTTTGTGTTATTTCCGTTTTTACGGAATATTAAACATTCCATTTTATCATTCATTTCAATTCTCTATTTCTCTTCATATTTTAGAAGTTTAAGAGATCTTTGTTCAGATACCCCATTCTCATCTGATGCCTATAACAATACCACTGCTAATACAGTTGTTGGCGGTGGTCCTAGATCTGATGCAACTCCAATCGACTACGACCCATTACATTTCATTCGTTGTCATGCTAAGGACAATGATGCAGGAGATAGTGAAACTAAAGTTTGGCGTTGCCTATTTGAACCAAATCAATGAGACCTGATGAAACAACCCACGTAGTTGCAACCTGTGGTGGTGAATGTGTCTGTCTAATCAATTGTGAAACCGGCAAAGTTATGAAGCGTTTTAAACATATGGAAGAGGTGAAAAAACTGTTTCTTCCTAGACTTTTGTGTTGCTTGTTTTATCCATACTATTGATATATGGAATGAGTATTTTCGTCTTTCTGATACATTCATAGTCTGTTGACATTAAAACTGAAAAAAAGAATGTATGTGCAGTTTATGACTCAAACAGAGAAGTCAAAAGTGGATTTTGATGTAATAATAATAATAGTAATAATGGAATATTTCATTTTAGTTCACCACAAAAAGTAAATGTCAAATGCATCAAACTCACGATTAGCTTGAAATGATTTTCTTTTACAAATCGAAGTCGACTAATTAGTCGTTGAACATATTTTTACGCCAAATGTTTTTTGATAAGTAAATAGAATACAAATTTTATGTGGTTGATTGTCCCTCCTCATCTCCATACCTTTTTATCAATATAAAAGCGTTTGAAAGTGATTTCATTTACTGGAAATTAAATCCTTTTAAGACATTACTTTGAGCTGGAACTAAAAAATCTAGTCATTAAGGTCACTGATAATAAGTGCAAAGGCAATTAATAAAAACTGGTCAATATCACTCCTTCATTTGGATTCCTTATCTTTTTTTCCTTATTCGACTTACTCTCACCCTCTCAGAAGAGAGACAATAATTGACCTGATTTAAGATTGTCTGTAGTGTTCAGCAAACATAGACTTATTGGTAAAATCAGTTATTAGAGATCTCAAGTAGTTCACTTCAAAATCGGTTTCAGTGCTATTCCTCCAGATCTTGACCTTATCATTCTATACCCACTTGTTCTATGTTCGTTCACATTTTCACTTTGCTAGGCTCTTTCAGTCAGTATCCAAGTTGATTCTCGACTTCATTCGAAAAGAGATGAATTATTTAAACTATTTAATTCTGGCTAACTTTACCGTTAAATTACAAGTTAATGAAATCAAAATAATTGGTTTATAAGCTAAACAATATGTACAGTGGGACCGGTGCAATTAATTAAACCCTAATTGAGATTCCAATTTTATTTTCTAATGAAAATAAATGTTTTATTCACATTGGTCTATATGTCAATTTGTAATGATTATTATGCAAAACAGATTACACTATGCTAAAGTTCCATCTATTTTTCCTACTGACAACGGAATCCCTGTTTAATGTACTAAGTTATTACTGACTTTACGAATTCTAAAAGGTAACATCTAGTAGGAAAAGCCTTTATTTTTCTATGTCGTGAAACTATCCTACAAACTTGTATAGAAATTCCGATGAACTATTTTGAAGCATGTGAAAGGTGCAATCTTATGACATAATGATAACTTCGTGCAATGTAAAACTAAGATGATCCTCAAAAATTCTTAGTATAATACCTATTAAACAATTTTAATTTACTCTCATATATTTCGATCTTAAACAATATTCTACTTCATTTGTAATCAGTAATATAACCATTATTCTACTAGGAATTTTATACCATAGCCTGGACAACTGTTGAAGTTGAAGGCAGTAAACGTACTAATATATTAGCTGCTGCAGGTCGTATGCATGAAATCAGACTACTTCATCCAGAACAGTTGGTGTGTTATGCTGAAATGAAAGGTCATACAGAAGATGTGACAGCTATGATATTTCATCAAACACAATCTACAATTTTATTCAGTGGAGATTCTAAAGTATGTGAAGCTTTCGATTCAGTACAATATTTTGAATATCTATGTTAACATTGTTTATGTCTGTGTTATGCCAGTGATAAAATATATTTCTCAATAGTTTTACTTTTACAGTCTTTAAAGGATTAGTGGTAAAATTATGATATACTGAGGAACTGGAGTTAACCAATCACAATAACTCCTTATGTATTTTGCGCGACATTTAAAGTGCAGTGGTAAATAACTTGTATGTTATTATTAAAGAGATGAAAATTGACAATTGTTGATTCTTGAATTACTCAGAATCAATCTATTAGACATCCAAAAAGTGAATTTAAAATGGCAGTTAACCTAAATGACAAAACATACCTATTTCTAAAGCACATTGTGTTTTATAGTGCTTAATTTGGTTCATTGAGTAGTTAAGAGTGTTGAGTGAAACTAAATAATATTCCCCCTCCTAACTCATCCTCCAAATCTCAGCCTTAAGTTTCTTATGTTTATTAACAGATGGGTGGCGTAGCATTGAATTATAACTGCTGTCAGTTCGTGATGGAAATCACAACCCTAACTTGTAAATTCAACTCCAACCCTACCCTTAATACTTAAACTTAACTTTTTTACATTGCAACTGATGTCATGTGGTGATGAAATCTCTATGCAGTGATAACCCTAACACATAACAGGACCCCCGACCCCTAATGCGTAAATTTGACCTTTTCACTTTACCACAAAGAATAGTTTGGCATATGAGGGTTTTTCATTCAGGTTGAAGCTGTTGTATCATTGCTTTTTATTTTTGACGGCTTTGTAACTAAGCAGTATTTATTGATTAGCCGATAAGTCCCCCAAGGTCTCCAGTATATTATGCTTTTACCGGATAAATGCCCGACAATATTTTTGAGGTTTATTCTATGCATATATGTGTTCTAAAATAAGTCTTCGAATAATAAACGGACACAAATTATTTTGTACAGATTAATCAAGAAAATGATTATACTAATTGGCTCTTCATTTTGTTTTGCATACCTTCCACATAAAAGTAATCTGAGATGTTTTAACACTCCATCCAGGTTTACAGAATATGATTACTAAGTCAAAGGTTACTGAATGTTAAGTTACCTACTGTTGTATGTTTGCGAAATCATTTTTTACCTACATCAATCGAATACAGACAATTTCGACTATATGACTTCACAAAACTAGACACAATCATTAGCTGTTTATTAATTCTATCTCTGTTATTTCACTCCTCATTAATAAAGTATATGATCTTTACAATTTATATTATGTAAATTACAAAGTACGTTAACTCATCCATTAGTTACTTGGGGGTGAACCACAATCTAAGTATAAGGGCTGATGATAATTCTCAGTCATATAAATAGGATTAGGCGAAATGGGGCTCGAACCTGGGACACTTAGTGGCTGGACACATTAACCACAATCTGTATTATAATAGCAATCACTTTCAATTTTCATAATATTTGCTGATGAGATGTAATTTGCTACTACTACTTCTATCCTTTTTAGGCATCTGTAATCGTTTGGGATATTGGAATTCCATCTGTTCCAGACTATAAAACACGTTATCAACTATTAATGCGTCTTCGTTGTCCTAGATTAGATGTGAATCCAGTATTAAATCTAGTTTTCCTTCCACATTATGCTTATTTAATAGCTGGTTGTGAGGATGGACTGTTTGCATGGAAAATAACCGATCTACGTTTAGAGAAACGAGAACGTGAACCGGATATGGAGTTGAAATTGGACTTTAATCATGAAGTTTGTATTGATGCTTTAGCTCAGCTAAGCGATAATGCACTAGTTTTAAAAGTAGTAGAGTCTGGTGAAATTATGGTGTTCGATTTTGCATCTATTTTGGAACGACGTAAAGGTTAGTTATTACATATAGAGGTGTATGTATATATTGATTGTTTACGTGTATATATCAATTCCGAAAAGCTACTGATTATATCAAATTGTTCTGGTCAAATTTCAGCGTAAGAAAATCATTTAGATTATTGTTCTATTCGTATTTACGGATTCTAATTAATAGTGTTATATTTCAGCAATAATCATAAAAATATAAACACAGCCTAAACACTGGTTGTAGACCGTGCTAGACACTTGTATTCAGACAATCAAGTGGATGACCATTCTATTCAAGGAGAATACAAGTCTGTATCACAGATAAATATAGCTTACAGTATATATATATATATAAAGACCGAAGGTCCTTAGTTTAATCCCCTGATGGCGGGGTCGTGAATGCACACTCACGAGAAATCCCACACTACGACGAAACAGCTATCCATTGCCACCCAGTTTCTACTGGATGTTTAATTAAGATCATTCCATGATGTCAGGTATGAAATAGAACTAAAATTACACATTCATTCGTTACTATATTCTCTAAAATTATATGCAGTCCAAGGAAAATAAAGTCTGTATATACTCGTCCATCCATCACAACGGTTTTCACAAATGTCATCAAGTTTTACTGCTGCATAAAATAAAGCAAATATTTTTAACCCTTTTTCAACCTATTCAGTATAAAAAGAGGTGTGAGCTTATCCATCTTGTTTTCAAAGCTTAATAAGTGTGCAGTCTCCAGTTTTTTTTCGAGCATTTTTATCGCACATTTGGTGAGTGTTGTTTATATTAGTGTAATTTTCACTGAAGATTTCATTTCAAGCATTTGAAACTATCCACAGTTGTCTGTTATGAACAAATTAGTTTAATGCATTCCAACAAGCCGGATGAGAAACATCCATAAAATGAAATTTAAGACTCAAAATCTCTCCATCTAGCTATCACCCATTGAATGAGCAGAATGATGCTGGATGACGGACGCCTAATCGACACTTAAAATGGATATATACATATATATGGTCGTGACTATTAAATATGTGATTTTCTTTCCTCTCATTGATTTCTACTCCAGATTCAGCGAATGTGACTGCTTGTAACTGCCTCGAATAAAGTATCTGATAAGTCTTGCTAATTGAAAGCTATATTGGGTTCCCAAGCTATTCTCGTAACCCCCAAGCTAGGACTAAACAGCGACCTGAACATGAGAGACAAGGCGCAAAATATGCGAGAAGCACTTTATTCCAAAGGTTCATTTTAGTACGGAAAATATAAGGTTTTTATAGTATTTTAAATGTCCTTGGGTTTCCCGAAGATTCTGGAATGCTACTAAACATAGTAGCAGTATAGTATTCAGCCAGTCAGAAACTCTACATGTGACTTTTCACTTTCTTGATGTTTATGGATAAACTTCAAGTGAACGCTTCTCATTGCTTCCTGAGCCTTTCTTGTCTTTTGCGAGAAGTTTTCTGGATCATTTCAACAGTATCATCTAGTGTTTATCTGGTTCTTTATTCTGAGTTGTGAATTATGTATCTGAAATAACACTACTAGTCCCATTATTGTATTAACGTGTGACCGTAGTACACCTGTGAGAAATATTTTAATCCATCCGTTATATATATATATATATATATATATATAATCACCTAGGTGCCTTGCTTTTTTGAGGTCACTTCTCAGTTTTTAATCTCAGCCAGCATACCATCCATTGATTGTGTCTAGTCATAATAGCCATCACAAAGTTGTTTGGGTTTTCCATGGTAGTTAACAAGGTAATGCCCTCAACCTCACCCTGTATTATCGAACTAACCCTAAATAGAGCACTCTTGGTATATATCCGTTCGGCCTAAAATGTACTAACGATTTCGTTCATTTTATCTGGGTCCTGGATGCTGTAAACGTAACTCATGCTCAGTTTTTCCAGACGACTTGTGGTCAAGCGGTTTTGTAATGAAGTGGTTTATTTGTGTTATAACTACGTATATACTTGTCATTTATGTACTACAGGACTTCAGCGTGTTGTCCCAATTGAGATGCGAGGTCACTTGTTATGGCAGAAAACGGATGAAATCTATATCAATGTATCTGTTAGACAAAATCTAGGCGCTGTCCTATGCGGTGATAACGAAGGCTCAATTTGGATATATGACTTGGATCCATACTTGGATGATTTGCATTCTTCTAGTCGTAAACGTTTTCATGTAAAACCAATCAAGGTATAGATGGTTTGCTTTTAAATATATTTTACATATATCTGTTATTTGTCATCAAAAAAGCGTCATGGTTTCGGTTGATACGTTTTCAGAATTCTGCAGTCTGTCTCAGAATTAACACTAAATTGTTCGAATCCTCTAAACATATACTGTTCACCTAATCTAATTGACAAGTTTTTAAGACTTGATCCTCTACCTTGTTTACACCTGTTGTTTGCAAGTTATTAATCCAAATAATCTCCTACTTTCCATTGTCAATCGTATTTCACCGATCGGTGAATTTACTCTGATTATTCAACTAATTGCGTGCAATATTTAGATTCATTTTTAGTTTTAAGCATTCTAGATCCATATGTTGCTGCTGTGTATAATTTTAATCAACAGAACAATTGGAAGTCATGATATGAGTAAGCATCGTTCTTCTGTTTCACATTCTCTGTCACCTAGCCTATTTACTCAATCCTCAGTTGAAAATCCTTAATTTCTGGTGCTTGTTCGAGTACCTAATTTTGTTTTATCAGATATCCAGTCGTAACAACAGGAGTAGTTAAATAAAAAACAGTGTTGTTTCCCTTGTTTACCGTTAATGAGCTGAACGCTAAACACGTGCAAAATGAACGGCCATTGTTAAAACGACCTATATCCGGCTAGTTGAAACGACTGATTGATCCGCTAATATATTTTCCAGTTAACCAGGTCATCCTGTAATATATCGTAAACCTTTCGATTTTTTATTGATATTGTGATACAGATCATGTATACTCTTCAAATTGTTGAAGTGAGACCATAAATACTTTAAATAGCTAACAAAGTGCATTACGAGTTTGATTCCAAATATTTTCTGTCGATACATGTCTGATAATCGTTGTGATACATAATCAGCTGTGTAACTTTTGTGCATCTTTATTACACTAAAATCCTATACTTTCTGGTCATTAATATTGTGGCATAGTACAAAATAACAATGTTGTGCAACTAAACATTATTACGAATAATAATGCAAATAAAAATTATCCACTTAATTTTTGATCTTCAGTCATATTTTGTAATGGTTAAAACTACCTAGTTGCATGATCTTTACGATGTTCATCAAGTATGTTTGGGATCTGCCAGCTGATATAAAACTGAATATAACTTTTTTTTTCGATAAAATTCATTATAAACTCATCACCTTTTTTATGTTATCTACTATAAGCCAAATCTTTTGTATTAGAATTCATTAAACTATTTAAGTACCTCAACGAAAATCACTTCATTCAATGTAACCCTAAATGAATTAAAAGAGTAGAGTTCAACCATCCGTACCACATATAAAACACAATGCAAGCGCTTCAAAATCCAGTTGAATTCTAATTAAATGATAATCCAATAGTGGATCACTTATTTAAAGGGAGTATTATATTGTACACAACTCTAATAACTACCATCCATCAGATCTCACCAACACATTGTGTTACCTTAACATCTATTCAAACAAAAACAATAAAACAACCTATAGTTTAATAATATAATATTTCGAAGAGTAGAATTAAAATATTTATCATTTTCCCGATAACAAATCTCTATTAGTTTGTTATTATTAACTGTGTAAGTTTCAATGTATTGTTACATACTCTTATGAAGCTTTATTATTTACGGCATTTTAGTCAGTAACAGCAGAGGATAACTAGAGCACCACTAAGCAACAATACAATTTTAACAGTTCCATTTTCTTTTAGTCTATACACGAAATGTAAAATTTTCTGCCATTATTCTGTCTACGTTATTGTAAATTCTACCTAAATATCTTGTAAAAATTAATTCTTAGATTCTTGAATGGCCTGAATGTTCAGTTCAAGGTAATCGTGATGAAGATCAACAATTGAAAGAAAGTATTACATCAGGTTTTCGTAATCCTGTTGTAAATTCAGTTGAAATGAGCTCAGATGGTTATTATCTAGCAGCTGTAACTGATAACAATCTTGTATGTATATGGCGATATGCTCCACCCCAACAACAACAACAGTACTCTCAAATAATCCAACAAACCACAACATCATCATTACATCAAACTACTCCTATGCAACATAATAGCAATCAATTAACAGCTATCAATAGTTCTATTGTTACTGTTCCCAATGTTGCTAGCATAATCAATGATGACACATCGTCAACGATAGCATGCATGGAACTTTTAAACAATACTAATACTAATAATTCATCAATTGCTTTAAAATCAAATGCCATAGAACTTGTTACTACCGGTCAACATTTATTAGAATAAATATCGTTATCATTATGATGATAATGTTATACGATTTGTCTTGTATTTTTGTTATTACTGTATCATGATTTATGTAGATGTTCTCTCCTCTCTCTCATATATATATATATATTATTTTGTATAGAACTCAGTCATTGACTTCTAGGCGCCGAAAATATCCTATACAAATACAAGGCGTCTTTAGTTTTTGATTTTTACTCATTCAATCACTTTCGTTCCTGTCTTCATATTTTTTACTATTATCCATCATGTCATATGTGTTCACATCTATAGTTACTTCGAAGAATCATGCTTCATTTATTGTTCTATTCATGTGCCTACATGTTTCAAATACTTGTAAACACCAAGTTAGTTACATTGTTATCAGAAAGATGAGGGTGGTGGTATCACTGTCTTCTTCCGTCTCCTCTTCACTCCAATTTTTCGTTATTTTTGTACCTTCTTTCCGGTTTTTGTAATCCATAGTGTTTTGTCTGCATGAAGTATCTCTTTTTGATATTCTCACTTTAATTTTTACCTAAACAGTATCGATAAAGTGTCATTTGCTATCATTATTACCATATAAAAGTAACATTATTATTATTATTATTATTATTATTATTATTATTATTATTATTATTATTAATACGAATTGCAATGTTCAATACTTCATTTGAAAACAAATGATTCCAACTTGTTTCTTCTCATATACAATGTGTGTATAATATATTTCCATCCTACTGTTTATATATATGCATCTTAGGAACGCATAATTAATGTAACTGTTTTCGTCAAATAGAACTGTTCATTCGTTAAATATTCTGTTAAAGGGATCGTTTGAGAAGCTTGTCTGTTAGTTACTAGTATATTTATTCTCATAATTTAAATTAGTTTAAAAAATAAAAATCGAAAAGTGAACTTAGCGATCGGTCCATAAACCTACGTCCTGTTTTAATTGATTCAGAAACTCTTATGTAGAGCCATTTCCAAGAGAGAATATTCAGTTTTGCTATTCTTATAGTGTGTATGAGAGCAAAATTGTATTAATTAAAGAAATCACGATAGAATGGAACAGTCATATTACCGTGTTTGTTGACATTCAATGTGAACCAGGTACTTACAGTAATTCTTTCAGCCTACACCTATGGGGAAGATTTATAAGCTAAGTTAGTTTGGAACATTTACCTTCAATAGTCGTTTTCTTATGTGTAATCAGTCTGAATTAAATACTCTTGTAAACATTAAAGTCTCACTCAAGGAGATCATCATATTTTTATTGTGGATATAATTCAAATTATTTCGAATCACTATCCAGTAGATTTTTAAGAACTAATTGACTCACTCTGTAAGTGTTTAAATATGAATTTACCAGTTCCCATTAACTTTTAGGTGTAGGGATAATATCAATTCATACTGAAGTTGATTCAATCTTCATCTGGTTTTTAATTTGTAGTTACATGTACATTTATTGATTGGTTCGTTAAAACCTAAATGGTGTATATCCCTAGATATCTGTTTCAGAAAGCCAATCTTATCAAAATTTCTTATCGAGTTATACATGTTGATATGTGTGTAACCGACAATTTCGCAGCTCGTAAAGAACTGAATTGTGCACAAGACCATGCAATCGGTATTTTTAGAGTCCCGACCACTAAACCTGATATTGACTATTAGTTGTTTTTGTCTCATTTGAATAACCATCTAATTTAAACGACCATCAACTTTGAAAACTTATAGAATTATGTTCCCATTTTTTAATTGGATATGCGGTTCTAATAAGTAAATCTGTGGATAATACGAGCAATCACCGTTGGGAGTGTTTGAAATCAAAACACTTTTTAGTCTCCGACTTTACACTTGTCTATGATGAATTAAAACATACTGATAGAGAAATTCAGACTCAACTAGCCGAATTGAAGAAGCAATCTGTTTAAAAACAAGCAGATTTGCTTAATGGTCACAAAATACTTTGGATAACTAGATGAAAAGAGTTTGAAAATTCATCTTATCGATAATATTCTTCAACTATTTAGAGACTATGCACACTACTAAAACACATGTTTATTGAAGAATCCTCAATTCAGTCACAAATTGATTGGAACAGTTTTGAATGAAGTTAACATTATTGATATCTAATGCATCATTGATAATATAGAAAGTAAGCTACAAATTGATTCATCTAATAGTTTCGGGTTATTAAAAAGATTTGTAGCTTAGAATGATAATTGTGTTGTGATTTCCAAAATCTAATGTCTAACTATAGAATCATATTATCAAGCAAGATGAAATATCCATGGCTAAAGGTCAAATTTGTAGAACACTACATAATTGCTGCTAAGTGATGTATTGTTCATCAACATGACTTTAAAGTTGGTTCCTACCGGTAATGTATTTAAAACTTTGTCGAAAAGCAAAGAAAAATCGAAATCATACAGGTTAAAGCTTAATTCACTTATGAAATGAATTTGATAGAAGCATTAGTTCATATTTCTTAGCATATCAACATTTGATTAGTTGTCTTTTCCTAATGAAAATTGATTGGACAGTTTTTTTATCACCTCAGCGTGTGTACTGAAGGCTGGTCAACATTACCATCCATCGATTCCTGGATTTTATTTATAAATCCTTAAGTCAAACAATTTAATCCAATTCTAAATGACAGTTTTTCACCATTCGCAACTTCTCGTGTATAATTTCAGCTAACTGACATCATCATGGGATTTTTTAAGCCTTATATTTCGTACTTGATAAAAACAAAGTGTACTTTCATTGCATGGCATTGAAGAAGATCACAGAGCATATCAAGTACAATTATATTCATATTAAATATTAGTTCAAACATAGAATACGTTAAATACTCGTCATATATTCCGCTTCTACGTAATGGTCCCATGTAATTTTGTCTATATTCTCTCCAATGTTGATCAAGCAACTTGATTTATTCCATGTTTCTTCCTTTATCCTTTGTCGTTTTTTTTTATTTTTAAGCACAAATAATCATGAATAATGACGTAGAAAAGTCAAACGATGATGTTCAGTTATCAATTGATCGGATGGAAATGAAATGACTGGTAAAAATGCCATGTATTTAGCACATGATTTAACACAAGAACAAAAACGTACTGCTGATGTTTTAGGAGAGAATGTATCGAATGGAGCTTGTGCTAATAGTCGTAATATACATTTTGTAGACTTACAATTATCTACACCAGTATTACATGGACTACACGATGCTGGATTTATTCGACCATCACCTGTACAAGTTAAAGCTATTCCTTTAGGTCGATTAGGTATGGATCTAATTGTTCAGGTACGAGAATTTATGTTTATGTTGTAGACTTTTTTAGGGCAAGTTGAAATGTAATTTTCAGGGTCAATAAAATTTGAGTTGTAAGGAATATTGGTTGATTGTGATTATATTTACTGATTATGTTATATAGATATTTGTCATTAACTTTAATATAATGGTTCAAAAATTATCAAAGGCTAGAATGGCTAGTTCTAAAACATTTTAGATTAGAATTGAACAATAATTCAATATACTTCCTGTCGTTCTCACCTATTCGTTAAGTAATGCAACATTTAGTGAAGCGGTGGTTCAGTGTTTAATGCATTCGATTTTCAGTTACTAAATCGTGGGTCCATAATCTGTTCCACTAGCTTCCGTTTGAGTGACCAAGTGGTATCAATACCTCTCACACACAAAGTGTAGCTCGAAGCTAAGTATATTAATAATAATACTGGCAAATAAATATCATTTGATTTGACAATGGATTCTGTGAACTATTAACACATTATACGAGAGTTAACAAAAACCCCACAGCGAGTTTCAGTTTCATCGAGACTACAGATACTTTAATGCTGACCAGCGTCAACTAGCATGAAACCTAGATCTAGGCCTTTCCTCTGATCGACTTCAATAAAATTGATTTTAACGTCAACCTATAGTTCATTTGATGTTAAATCGTCTAGACTTTCGGTCACATTAGAATCCAGTCGCTAAGATCCCACCAGCACTAAAGACTGTTAGGACCTTGCTGTAATAAGTATAGAGAAAAAACAACCTCCGATAACATTCAAAGTCAACGATTTCATCTCTTGACTAGTGGGTGACGTCCGAATCATCTAGTTGATGGGAAATTTTTTGTTAGTGGGAATATTCTTTCCCTAATTTGTGTAATCTATTGATCCGTGTCAAGAATTTCAGCATACTTTTCAAAATCCCGTCATTTTTCTAAGCACCTTGATTTTCAGAAACGACCTTTGAACTCAACTGGGGTTCGACCGAAAAGTTAGGATCACTGGAAAGCTACTTCGTTCTAGTAAGGTCAGAATTGATTGGAGTTGGAAATGTGTACCATTGGATCCTGACTCAGTGGTCGAACGTTTAAGTACTCACCGATCCTGAGTTTAACCCCTGATTTTTTCATGGGTCCACAATGCTCAGGAATCTTATCCTAGAACCAAACAACCTGATTCTCAATGGCACCCCAAATGAGTTCGGTCTGTGACGAATATCACCTACAAATCCACTTTTTGTCATTTCTTCACGTATGAAATTTGTCTAAAGTAAGGGAAACTGTTCTTTACAAACCACCCAACTAAATGTTTATTATTTTTATAATTTCCTTTCATCTCTCTGTATTTCCTGTTTTTTTAACATCGGAAAAAAGGCTAAATCTGGTACCGGTAAAACGGTTGTCTTTGCTGTAGTTATTTTGGAAGCAATCAATGTAAAACGACCTACTATACAAGCAATTGTTTTGTCACCAACTCGGGAAATTGCATTTCAATCACAAATGGTTATTGAACGATTAGCCAGTCATATACCAGTTTAAAATGTCATCTATTTGTCGGTGGTAAGTATATATATATATATATATGCCGTTATGTATTGGCTATTGTCATCAAATATCCATGGATTTATTACCGTAGAGCATGGAAATAAATTTGTCAAATGCATTTTTTTCACTGAGATACTCTTCGTTTTTGAATATTCTCTGTGAATTTGATTAATGTAA